CTTTTTTTTTAAACAGTAATTTGACCCTTTGGTTTTGAGTATTTAGGTCTCTCCCCATTCAAAGAGAGATCGGAGCCTGGTCTTGTATGGATGGAAATAACTGTCCAGTGGTGTTATAAAGATGCCTGCCGAGTAAACAGACTTCCCTGCAAGGACTTTTGTGTTGATGAAGTGATTTCTTTGATGAAGTTTTGTGCAACACTAGTGCACTGACTTAAAAAGGTAAGCGCTGCTCTACATTCGTTTTAGCCAAAATCCCTTCTTTGTTTTTTTTTTTCATTTTTGGTGTAACTGTTTTGGATACTCGTATACCAAATTAGTTGTAATGCACATCCCTAATAGGCAATCGGTTGGCAACTGACCTACTAAAAATTAATCATGCAGCAAAAAAACAGTAGTGTTCAGGAACACTTTTTGAGAAGACAAAACTACACAGCTACAACAATGTACCATATCAAAAGCAACTGCAGATCAGACAGACAACTATTGCATCCATGTTGTCCAAGAGAAAGTGATACGTGGCCCTGCGAAGAAATCCTTAGTTAGCTCATTGTAATTGTGCTTGTTTTAACTCAGGCTAGCAATGAGTGGTAAATAACTTTAGAATGTCAGCCAATTATTGTATATTCCAGTCATCTCATCATTTTTTTGTTTTTTTCATTATTTAATCGTGAACACAGCTGTCAGCCCCTCAGTTTAAACAGAAGCAGGTTCTTACATAAAGCATGTTTAAGAAGGCTTACTATGGTTTCAGGCTGTTTACGCCTATACTTGGACCCACCTCTCAGTTCTACTTTCCACGGTCTATACAAGAAACACTTTTGAATATCTAAGTGCATTAATACAAAATTCTGTTGTGTGTGCTTCAAGTACGTATATCAGGTACTTTCTAGCAGCTCCAAACGTTTCTCAGCCAGTCAGCTTTCTGAATCTAAACTATTTGTTTTGTACCTGATATTACATCCATGATTGCAGCCTAAATAATGCGCCCAGTTATCGGTCAGAAGACTTTGCCAAAATTTGCATCCCTGTGCGTCTTTTTTCTCTCTATGTAGATCATATTGCGTAGTCACATGTGAAACACATGAAATCTGCAGCAGCTTGTACATGTACCTCACAGATGCCTCATGTTGTCACTGTAAAGAATGCCATACACAACACTCGCACACCAAAAAGCGCAAAATAGCACAAAAATACAAATGGGTATATGATTGAAAAAAAGAAGTAATACGCATGAAACATAAAGGCCTGTATCCCCCTGCAGTGTTAAATAACCCCTCTGTCCTTTAAAAGCAGGAAGGACCAAGCGATGCAAAAAAAAAACATGTTCTGCCCCTCTTTCTCTACGGAATATAAAAAAGAGAAAGGAAGAAAGAAAGAGAGAGGAAATGGTGGCTGCAGCCTGCTCCCCCACTCCCCCTCCTTTTTTCGCTCCTCTCCTCCATTCTCCTCCCTCCTTCTCCGTTTTCGACCTGAGTTACAGATTGCACTTGCTGACATCAGCAAGGCAAAGCAGAGAAGCAGCACAGAGCGCCGAAGCGTAATGTGTTACATGCATAGGCGCAGATACACACACACACACACAAACCAGGCACCATTTGTGTGACCAAACCCATCCCTCTTGTAATTAGCAGGCTAACTGCTAACTGCTTTTCCTTTAGGGTATATTTTTGACGATACGATTTAGCTTTTTTATAAGTAGGGGTGCAATGATATTGTTATCATTTCAGCAAAGGAAGATATTTTCTTAAAAAAAATGGGACAGATGTTTATATTGGAACGATATTTAAAACCTGTTTTTAATGATGTATTTATATTATTACAGAAATGCGGAATGTTCAGGTAATGCCGGATTACTTGCTGAAAAATACACATACACAAATACACAAACTTTGCCATTTGAGGCCGGTTAGCTTAGTCTGGCACATTGTTCTCTAAAACACTTTCACCCGAGGCCTTTTAAAACAGCCTGTTTCACCTGATGAATGAGAGCTGAGACATGATTTTACTGGTACCTGCCTGCAGTACTTAGGGCCTTCAACCAGCCTAGCTCAACAGCTGAGTTTACAGAACATTCTCATCTAAGTTATATATGATAAATGTGGTATTAATGTAGAATACCGATCAACTCAATGTTTTAAAGTTCAGTTATGTTTACATGTTGGAATTTTCCTATGATTTGCATTAAATAAATCAATAAACGAACGATAGGTTTTCAAACTGGCGGCAAATGATTTTTTTCTGGGGCCTGTTACCACAGTAGCTTGGTTAACCGTCACCAGGCACAGATCTAAAATGTTACATTTCTCAGTAATGCTAGCTTCTACATTTTATAAATGTTTATGCATCAGCATTGCCGGATACGAACATTAAAAATACAGACATCGGCCCATTGGCATACACAATAAAGCAGAAATACAGCCATTTATATGCACAGATGGAGGTCATATCATGATAATTCAAGAAGTTTTCACTATATATATATATTTTCTGACATCTGATATTGTGCCATTTTCTTTGTAATGACATGCATTTAAGAAGTGTTTTCAAGCACTGGCAATATCCATGATATGCTCAGAAAAGCATGTTGCGACATACTGTTACATAATTTATCATGATAACGATAAATATTGTCATGTTGCCCAGTCCTATGCAGACTTACACAAGCAATAAAGCACATATATACTCACAAACATGCAGAAACATGCAAGTTGTATTCTTATCTCTGTTCTACTGTTGCGAAATATACATCTCTGCCACCTAAACCCTACACCATTAAAGAAAGGGGCTCTTCAAAGATTCTTAGCAAAGACAGTGGTTTTATATAGAATCATGACAACTCAAAGAACCACTTGAATAGAGAATCTGTATATGTTTCTTTAAAGAACCCAATAAAAATGTCTTCATAACAAAGCAAAAGGGATTCTGCTGTAGTTACAAGTCGTGGGACCTTTGTTGGTGCTATGTAGGACTTTTTTATGAGAGTGTAACCTTAATTCTTTCTTTTTTATTTAAAAAAGGGCTCATATTCCACATTTTTTATAATTCTACATTTACTACTTTTCCCTGAGGTCCATTTATACCATTTATTTGGGGTTTTGTAAAAAAAAGTGATCATAATTCATTTTTGTATGACCATTTCTGAACCTCCCTAGAATTAAACAGGCTGTTTTTGTTACCGCGCCTTTGAGACATATACATGCAAATTCCCTCTGTCCTGACTGGCTGCTCGGTATTGTGCCTCATTCAACAAGCAGTCCGGGCTGAAACACTCCTTATAACTTCGACATGAATAGGCGGGGCCAAACTCTTGTAAGCTGAATAAGCAGATATATGGAAATGCATTCATGACATCAGAAAATCGATTAATTCAAAATAAGCTCTCCGTTATATAGAGTGTGTTGACTGGGGAGTGAACCGCATTTTCATGCTTTCACACATCCCCACAAAGAGCCAAATGCAAGCCCATAAATACAGTTTCTCAAATAACAAATGCATATGTTTCTCAAAGATGCACAAATTCTAGCTCACGCAAACTGGAAACTGCAAAGAAACATGTTATACCCAGCCTTTTACAGCCATGTAGGTTGCGACTGATAAACCCACAGTGCTGCTGCTTCATTCGCACCCAGCACCACATCCATCAGGAATCACACTCATACCCTGCAGCCAGCACTCACATCTGGACAGCATGAAGCACATAGTGGCTACATCTCAATACCCACTGAGCTCTACACAGCCAGCTTTATAATCATCTACTGACGCAAAATGTGTCACAGTTCCTCCCTTAGCTAAATGCTAATGAATCTTATTTCACATATAGGATCTCATTTGATAAGGAAACATCTCAACACAGTGAAATGACAAGATTTTCTGAAAGATGTAATTCAAGATACGGACACGCCTGTATTTTTAGATGTACGACATTTTAACTAATGTATCTGTTTTAGTTGATTTTTTAGTATGTCATTGTTAATCCACAGCTTTTGCTACATGAAAGCATTAGTAGATTAGCACTCTAGCTAGCTCTGTTGCCTCACGCTGTTGTTTGGCCCCCTCATTTAGCTAGCTTTGCTAGATGGTGCTAGGTTGTTACAATCTGCTTGTTTAACATCATTAGTTGGGGTTAACATTAGCTAGCCTGAAGTCTTGGATGATTGATTACAAGCATACTTTAGAATGACCTTTTTCTAGGACACATCCTCTTTTTCAAACCTAAAAAATGTGTCTGGCCGGCTTTTCTAAATTGCCTAAAATAACCCAATTTTGGCTTTGCTTTTCACATTAACATTTGCCTTCTACAGTCTGCCCCATGCCGCCCCTCCTGTCCCCAGTGTCCTCTTTTTCGAAAAACAAAATATGGTCACTCTAGCATACATAGCACTTCTCTATAGCTAGCTAGCTAGAAACTTAGCTAGCCCAGAGATGTTATAAAGGAGGAGACCAGCCACTGGTTGAAATATGAATGGGAAAGCTCATAATACTCAACATGGCGTCTGTTAAAGTCTCGGCCTTCAAGAAAAACAGCCCATCGACTTGCTGGTTATACCGCAAGCGGAGAAACCCCCTTTCCTAACACCTGCACTTTTATTTGTATGTTACTAAGCCAAACGCTACAAACGATGTATGAAGTAATTGTCAGATTTTATCAGTGATTTCAAAAAGTTTTTGAAACTGTAATTTGACCTTCAATTCCCAGTAGTTTGGTCTCTCCACATTCAAAGAGATCAGAGTCTGTTCTCGTATGGCTGGAAATAACTGCCAGACGGCGTTGCTTTAATGACGCCGCCTAGTGAGATGAATAGGCCTAATTGGACAAGTGCAGGCAACGAGTGGCATTGGCGATAAAATGCTGCCTACCTAGACATAGGGATCAAGGGAACAAGGGAGCTCACTAGGTATTAAGACAAACCCGGTGTAGGTGATTTGAGACATCTCATACCCAAGTGGACGGCAGCCTCTGTGCCGGTCTTTTAGGGGCTCTAGTTTGGAAAGGATATGGCCACTCGGTGATCTTTTTGGCGTACTTCCTCACGAAGTTGTCCTCGCTGAAGATGAACAGCGAGCGGTTGACGGTGAAGCAGTTCTGCCGGACCGGGATGGGGTTGTACAGGGCCATGGTCCGGGCGCGCTGGGCCATGGACTGCTTGTAGACCCGGTGGGCTCCAGGAGGGCCTCCTTGCCTTCCGGCGCCACTTCCGCCGACGCCGCCGCGCGCGGGACCACCTTGCGCGTGCCCGTGCCCGTGGCCATGCGCGTGGCCGTGCGCGTGCGCATGCGCGCCGCCGCCCCCGCGCCGCCGTAGCGGGACGGCAGCTCGTCCGTGAAGCGCGCCATTCCGAGCAGTGCGCGAGAGGAGGAGAGGCCAAAAAGAAGAAGAAAAAGAAGAAGAAGGAGGAGGAGGAGAAGGAGGAGGAGAAGAAGAAGAAGAAAGAGGCTCCGCCGCGCCACCACAACCACATCACATTCCCGTTATTGATGGAGGGGGGAAGGGGAGGGGGCGCGTTCACGTCTCCATAACGTTAAAAAACACACACACACAAAATATGTCCAAAAAAGAAAAGCGCGTGATTCTCGTGTCCCTTGGCTCGCGCTAACAACACACCCAGTCACTCGTCCTCACCTCAGCGCATCGTGTCCCAGCATGATTCCCACCATTCATCCTACAGCAGGTCCTTCTCCTTATTCTTCTTCACGTTTCCAGCTCCATCTTAACGCTCCTCCACGATCTCTCTCCCTCTCTCTCTCTCACTCACTCTCTTTTCTCCCTATAGCAAATCAATTTCTGACCATCCACGGGGTGCACGTTTCCTTTCACACCATCTTTTTTACGATGAGGACCAAAAATCAATTACAAAGATCAATCAATCCTTGATGTTGAGCTTTGTTTTTTTTTTTCAACTAAACATTTTTATGCTCGCGCACGCTCCGTGTTCTTTTTCTTCAATCCAAGAAAAAATGAAAAGGGGAAAAAAATATATATTTATTTATTTATTTCCCCGAAACATCCGCAATGTTGGGTACGGTGTGGATGCTGTGCCTTCCGCGCGCGCCCCGCGTCAGCCCCCTTCCTCCGGAGATGGACGGATGCGATAGAAAAATAAACACCTCTCTGACTGAGCTCGAAGAGGAACATATTCGGCCGCGTTTCTGTTCGTTCTTCTGTTCGTATCTTGTTCTCCTCACCGGCGCGGCGCCATTCCGGAGGTGTCGAAGGTGCTCTGGCCTCCCATAGCAGCAGCAGCAGCAGCTCGCGCTCCCCCCCCACCTCCCCGTACACCGGAGCTGCTAGCTAGCGCGCGCGTGCGTATGTGCGTATGTGCGTGCGTGCGTGCGCGCGGGCGTGCGTCTTCGCGTCCTCCCCGCTTCCCCTTCGCTTTCGTGCCGCGTGCACGGGCGCACCTTTAGTTTCGTTTGGCCCGTCTGTGCTCTCCCTCTCTCTCTCTCTCTCTCTCTCCTCCTCGCGCTCCTCACACGGCGCCCCTCATCGCGCGAAAAGGAAGAAGAAGAAGAAGATGAGAAGGAGGAGGAGGAGAACGCTGGTCAGGTCCGAGTCCAGTGAAGGCAGCGAAGGGATCTGAGCGCCGTGCCCGAATCCGACGCTTTGGTGCACGTGACGCGCGCGAGCGACGCCGATTCGAGGATCCTCACGCACATACACACACCCCACACACGCCACCTTCGACGTAGGGTAACCCCACCTGCCTTTCTGGACCACCCGCGCCCCCCTCCCCGCTCCAAAAGTGGAAAAAAAAAGCACGACCGGGTCCAGTTAGTGTCCATTCCACCTTAAAGTGGGTTTTCACTGGGTTTTATTACTGAGGTGTAAACAAATTCAGAGAGGCTTGATGTGAAATATTTCATTTTACACTCTTTAAAAAGATGGTTCTTCAAGGGTTCTTTAGCAAAATGCAATAACATAGCTCTATATAGAACTATTTCATGCTTAAAGGGTTCTTTGCATGGTGGATTGGTTCTTCAGAATAATGGACAATGTGTTATATATGGTTCTACACAGTGTTAGAAATGAAGGTTCTGTGCAGGAAAATTTTTCATTCATCAAGGTACAATGTTAACGTGCCCTCAAAGGTACAACAGTGGTTTTAAGGTCCAATTGTGAACCGTAACCCTTTAATGTTCTGCTCAACCATTTGATAGGGCACATTTTGGGTCACTATATATGCCACAAAGTGCCATCTTGACCGTTTGGCTCATAACCGAATGTTTTAAAACAGAACAATAAAATAAAAAGCCTGGAGACGAGACAGGGTGTGTGGAGTCAGTACAGCTTAGACAATATGATTTCAGTGGATTATGGTACAGTTATGTTCCCTGACTGAAGGTACTGAGATGCACCCTTCAGGGTCCCACCCCGTGACAAGAGTTGACAGTGACAGTTTTGTACCTTTTTGCTGAGAGTGTATAGCACTAAAAGGGTTCTGCTATGGTTACAAAATCAAGATTGTAATAATACAATAGAAGAATCCTTTTTGGTGCTACACAGAAATCTTCAAAATATTCTATATCGAAGCATACACAACACATTCTCCATCAATCTGAAGACCTGTTTAATGATGTAAAGAACCCTTTAAGCATGCAAATGGTTCTTGTATGTCCATGGTTCTATATAGAACTGTTGTCTTTACTAAAGAACCCTTGACGAACCATCTTTTTTAAGCCTTGTAAATCCAATGCAAAAACTAAAGAAGCATATTTAAGACAACAAGCATGTCTTGACTGTTCAGCTACATTTGGTGTAAGAGAGGAACGTTGGTAAATCAGTTTTCTTTAGACAGAAGTGAAAAAAAAGGAGTTTCCAAAACTGGAGTTTAAAAAATGATTAAAAGCTCCAGAGAAAATGAGACTCCTAACAACCACCTGTAAGACCTGATAGACACCAAAACTGCCCCCTATCAGATAAACAGCACTTAAAGCTTTCGTCTTTGAGAGAGAGGAGAAAATCAAGCTGCTTCAGATCTGAAAACATCCACAGGTGTTTCTGTCCATCCTTCCACTGTGAGAAGACGACTCAGCGCTATGGGTCTGAAAGGATGTGTAACTGTTCTAGAAGAACCTCACTGAGAAAAGGAGACGGACACAAGCTGAAGCTGAACAATGGACTGACCACCCCAGAGTCCAGACCTCAACATCACTGAATGTGTTTGGGATTATTTGGATTGTGAGCAACAGAAAGTACAAAATCAGCATCTAAGGCTATGTTCACATTACAAGCCTTGTTGCTCAAATCCGATTTTTTGCTCAAATCCGATCTCTCTGACAGGATGGTTCACACTCGTTTAGGTAAGTGATTCGAATCCGTCATTAATGTGAACGAACCAGCATCCTGAAATGACCCGCATGAACTCATCCTACTCAGTAATGTCACGTGAATGAATCACGTGCATCATCAGCACAAACTAACGAGCAGAACGAGCTTCGCTGAGAAGACAATTAACTCTGATCAGCTCTCAGCTTCATTATTAGTGCGAGATGATGGAGAAAAAGGTGAGATGAGCTGCTTTTCCACCGTTTACAGGCTTTAACTTCTGTTCAGCGCTGCTGCCATGGTAGCGCTGAATGATGGCACACGTGCAGTGGAAAAAAAGCACATGTATTCCGATCTGAGCGTCACATTAAGGTCGCATGGCCACAAATTGGACACATATCTGGTCTAGGACCACATATAAAAGTGGCTCAGGTCGGATTTGAAAAGATCAGATTTGGTGTCCACACAGCTCTAAAAACATCAGATCTGAGTCACATTAGGGCAAAAAATCTGATTTGTGCCACTTTAACCTGATAATGTGAACGTAGCCTAGACTGAAGTTTGGAGGTGTGTCTGCAGATTTCTTTAAGAAACTGAAAGTGAGTCTCCTGAAAAGAATGGAAGCTGTAATAAAGGTAAAGTGTGGACACAAAAAATTGATGTATTTAGTTGCTGAGAATTTTCTGTTGGGATTTTCTATTAAATATGTTTTTTGCTGTGTTTCCCATTGTTGAAAAATGAATAACTTGTACTTAATGGCTGTTTTGACTGGAAATTAAATAAATAAGGGTGGGCTGTTTGTTTCTGGACAAGGTATCAAGCAAACCAGCAGCACAGTGTATTAACAGTGTGTTGCTTTTTTCAGTTGCTGCGACGTGCTATTCTTAGTAGCAGACACGGAATTAATGGATGGAGATTTCCCATCAGTGTCTCTCTCTCTCTCTCTCTCTCTCTCTCTCTCTCTCTCTGTCCACCAATGCTGACTAATTCCATTCTGAAAATGTGTCTCATTGACTGACTGTGTACCGAAATGCTGAATGACAGAACGTCTTCATGATACAGTTATCTGAAGAGTGATGGTGTATTTTAGGACACCTCTGCCTACAAATCAACAGATTTGTTCCACCTCAGAGTCCATGGTATTTTCAACAGTATTCAGAAAACTGTTTACCCAACATTTCCTCCAAAATCAAGGATATTAATAGGATGCTGGTCCACCTTTGTAACACTAAGAGGCCCTACTCAGCTGGAAAGGCTTTCAGCTGTACTCTTAAAAATAAAAATGGTTCTTGCCTTAATTCCCTAAAAGCTGGTTGTAATACACATGTGAATAACCTTCAAAGAAATAAAGTTTAAAGAACCTCCACATAATATATATTGGTATAATGTACCAGTTAACAGTGCTTTCTAGAACTGTTCCTCTAAGCCAAGAACCATTCATAAACTTTTATTTTTAATGTTTGAACACTGTTGCTGCGATTTGATTCAGTCATGATGGCATTAGTGAGGTAAGGTTGATGGTGGTTGTTTAGTCTACACCACTGATGACACTGGAACTCATCCCAAAAGTTTTCTGTGGAGCCTCATCATCCCATCTCATCCCAAGGGTGGTCAAAGGAGCTTCATCACTCCAACGCATCCCAAAGGTGGTCAAAGGAGCTTCATCTCTCCAACTCATCCCAAAGGTGTTCAAAGGAGATTCATCACTCCAACTTATTCCAAAGGTGTTCATTGGATCTTCATCACACCACATCATCCCAAAGGTGTTCAAAGGACCTTAATCACTCCAACTCATCCCAAAGGTGTTTTGTGGATCTTCATCACTCCACATCATCCCAAAGGTGTTCAAAGGATTTTCATCACTCCACATCATCCCAAAGATGTTCAAAGGATCTTCATCACTCCAACTTATTCCAAAAGGTGTTTAAAGGAGCTTCATCACTCTAACACATCCCCAAGGTGTTTTGTGGATCTTCATCACTCCAACTCATTCCAAAGGTGATCAAAGGAGCATCGTCACTCCAACTTATTCCAAAGGTGTTCAAAGGAGCATCATTACTCCGACTCATTC